GTATAAAATAAAAATAATAGAACTCAATTGATGTTTGTGAGGAAAAATAATATTTATTAATAATTTTTCTTTCTTTTTTCTTTACATTAAATGTGATTTTTTAAAATAAAAGTTAAACATATTTAATTATGGCCTTATATTATTTAGTGTGTTCTTGTGATATTGATAAAGATATATTTTTACCTAAATGATTATTAACTTTTAAATAATTTTATTGAGATTTAATGCATCGTGATATTAAACTTAATAGTAAATCTCACTATTTAATAATGTTTGCTATCTATTTAAAAAACCACAAGTCAGTGGTTCCTTATTAATTAAATCTCAAATTATGTACAGTTAATATTATTCTTAATTTTTAGACACGTTATGTATATCCATTCTTAATTTTTTTATGTATTACATGTAATTTTAATAAATATGAATTTATAAACTTCTGTAGTCAATTGAGAAAAAAAATTATAACTCAATAATGTGCCCTACCTACAATAATTTATTGATTTCGTCACTAATTAGAGTTAACATATGTTTTAGGACATAGATTTATTATAGAAAGGTGACGAAAATCCTAAAATTTTCGTTGGTTGTTGAATTTTATTTTTGATTTTAATTTGGTCTTTAATTTTGTAATTATTATGGTTTAGACTCACAATTATCAATTCCATATTAATTAAGATTTTTTGTTAATTTTTTATCATTAAATTTACTAGAGACTAACTCAATTTGATTCATTTTAGCATTAATCTAATGGTGGAAATAAACTATTAGTTTTATTGAAATAAAATTAATATATTGGAGACTAAATTGAGATAGTTTAAAATTCGGGGATAAATTTTTTTTGGAAAAATTTTAACCACACCCCCTCTATCTTGCCATATCTTCAAGGACACCCCTTCTAGTTTCTGAATCTTTAATGACTCTCCCTGTCAGATTAAAAATATTAAGTAGAATGCAATTTTACTAAATTATCCATGATATATTTGAGGACAAATTTTATCCACACCCCCTCTAGATAAGCATATCTTCAATGAGATCCCCTCTAGATAAGTATATTTTCAATGAGACCCCCTTTATTTTTTAATTTTTTTACGTAATTAAATTTGAACCGAATAAAATTCGATTCAAGCTAATTAAAATTTATTTTTTTACATATTAAAATTTGTGCCAATTAAAAATTATATTTTTTTTACGTATTAAAATTTGGGCTATTTAAAATTTTGTTTGAGCTAATTAAAAATTATTTTTAATCTACTCAAATCAAATTTTAATCAATTTGCATTGAATTTTAATTGAATTAAATTTTAATAAATCAAATTTTAATTGACACTAATTTTAATAAGTAAAAAAATATAAATTTTAATCGACTCGAAAGAAAATATTAATCAACGCTAACAATTTGGATAGAGTTCAAATAGGCTCAAATTTTAATATGCTCGATTTTTTTTAAAAATTTATGAATTAGTAAATAACAAATTAGTATATACTAAAATTGTTATTTACAATTTTTTTAAAAAATTTTAACAGTTCGAATTTTAATAAAATTTTATGTAGAAAAATTACTTGAGGTTATGTAGGGGCATATTTGGTATTTTAGATGAATTTGTTTTGTTAGAAATGATAGTTTAATAGTAGGGGTGTTAGTGATGTTTAAATTAAACTAGAAGGGATGTCATTGAAGATTCAGAAACTAGAGGGGGCGTCCTTGAAGATATAATAAATTAGAGGGGGTATGGTTGAAATTTTCCCATTTTTATTTGTTCCCTTCTGACCGTTACTTGTCGCCCTCCTCTCTCGCGCCCCCGCGCCCCCATATAGCTTATATTTCCTAAACGGAATCTTCACACGCTCCATCTCTCTCTTCCCAAAAATCAAAAATCCCATTGCCACCGCCAATCCAAAAATCCCAACCCACCGCATCAAATCTCAACTGAATAGCAATAGGGAGACATAACAAAGCAAAAAGAAGAAGAGGGGACCCATCCTCACGAGCAGCAGAATCAGAATCAGTGGGTTTGAGTATGGCAGTGGCTTGAAGTCAGAGAGAAATCGCATTGATGGAGGTAATTTGCTCAAACTCTTTTGATTAAGTTTTATTTTAGGGTCAGAGTAATATCCTTAATTCCTTGGGTTTTTCTGAAAGTGGAGGGTATGAGTTTTACTTATTCAAATTGTGGGTCTATGCTTTGGTTTGGGTTTGGGTCTTAGGTCATATTAATTTGATTGATTCTTCCCTATATGACAACTTATTTGTTTTATGGTTGTTTTATTTTCTTTAGTAGTTGCCAGTTGCCACATATATTTGGAACTTTTTGAACCTTTAATCACTCAATACAGTACACAATTTGGGGTCAATAAATTAGTTTATTCTACAATTTGCTTTTTGTTAGGAATTAAATTGTATAATAAATTTCATCATGGCCCTTTTATTTTTAAATATTGTGGTTGCAGGACTCTTTTAAACAATTTTAATTTTAAGAGACTTAAAAAATGGTTGAAATAGTGGTCGCCGTGGAGGTGAAGATGGCCTTCTCCTCTCATTGTCAACAGACAGCTTTCAATGTGAACACGCCAAGGTTGTCAAGCAATGACATACAAAAGATGCCCGTTGATGGTCATACGACGACGACATACTGAAAAAACATGTTCTGATGGTACGCCTTACTCTTATAGTTGGAATTTGTGGTATTTAGTTTCTTGGTTTTGTTTTTGTAAGAATGTTGATCTTTTGATGCTATAAATTAGGATTTTATTTGATCATGATAATATTTTGATTTTTGTATGCTCAACGATTGATAGGAGAAGGGTATTATTTTTCAAGGTATGAATTACTGATTTTTTACCTACTACAAAGAAGATTACTTATTTTCTAATGTCCTTTTTCGCTATCTCACCGAGGAATTTGGAGCTTCAAGTGTTAGTGTAGATAATATGGTTAATGAAATGGTTGATGAAGTTGGACATAGCATTGCCAAGCTATAAGAAATCTTGCATTTAAGAAATTGTGTAAATTTTAATAGACTACCTGTGTACAACAGGTATAAGAATAACCAATATAAATGAACTAACATTGCATTATAAATATATTTGCAATAAAAGAAATGTATATTAAAAAATAAAGAAAATCATAAAAGAAATAAAAAAGATAGTAATTAATTCCAAACTACTGCTACTTTTAACACCAGCAAAGAAAAATATCTCAATTATTATAAACAATTTTTTTTTCATAAACATTACATTAGAATAACTGGGTAAAAATTTTAAAGAGCATGCGATAGATTGTCATTACAATAGGAAAAGAGAATTATGTGAATAAGAAATACTAGTATATAACTATTACTAAAATAGCCAACAAGATGTGAATGCAATATCAACAATGCAAGAATTATATCGAAATATNGTTACTAAAATAGCCAACAAAATGTGAATGCAATATCAACAATGCAAGAATTATATCGAAATATAGCATAAAATAAACAAAGTAACAATAATCAACTTTTACTTACTAACAATAATCAACTTTAACTTACTTCGATATCAACCAAAATTCTAGCAAACCTGTACTGTAGTAGCATATGACTCTACCCTTTATGTATATATCAAGAAAAAACACAAAAATACAAATATCATTAGTTCTTATATGCAAAACTAGGGTGAGATAGATTATCAATACATTAGGAAAAGTAAAAAAAATATATAAGAAGTACTCTATATC